AACCAGATAGATCAGAATAGGCGAGAAATACCCATTCCCAGGGCAGAAAGCTCCACCTCACTATTCTGCTGCATGTACCTCTGCACATATTCAACAATCAACAGATCAATCTCAAATCCATAAAACCATGAAAGGTCCAAAAACTTTGAATTGTTAGTTTTATTTCAGCAATTGATAAATTCGAGCCTAAGAGGCGAGGAAATGAAATGGGGCAAAATACCTTGGCGAGATTGACGTAGAAAAAAAGGGGCTTTTTGGTGTTGGAGACCTGGATTCGGTTCTTCTTCGGAGAATCGCCGGCGATGTTTATGTTGGTGACTCCCTCTGTGATTTCCTCCATGTTTTATCAATTGGGTTTACGCTAGGTTCCTACAACTTTTGAGATTATAAAAAGTCATCTATGTCATCAACTTTTGAAAGTGTGTCTCTATTTTTTTCTCCCATGTATCTTGTCATGAACTCTTTCATGATGAAGTGGATGTCATTTAATGTTAACAATGTTGAACACACTTTCTAATATCTAACACCATGTTAAATATGATGACTCATCAATTTATTTTATATTTGTTTTAATTTTTTATTTTTTTGTATCAATGAATTATTTAATTGGTCTATCTATACAAATAACTTCTTATCAAATTGATGGATTGGAGATACTAGTTTAATTGAAATTTTTAGTCTTTTAACATTATTCCAATGTGGATTAACATTAACATCATGTGTTAAAAATAATAGATTTTCACACCTATAGCACTGGAGATTCTCTAAGCATGGGACTCGGAGAATTCTGAACCGTTTCGAAAATCGAACAAAAATCATTCCGAACCGAAAAATATTCATTGACCGTTTGACTTTCTCCGAACCGAACCGAAAAAATAACCGGTACGGTTCTGGAGATTTCATAAATATCCGTACCGAGAACAGAACCGAACTGTCATGTACTGTATCGAACTGAAGAACCGAAATTAAGAACCGAATTATAAAAATAGATGCGTGTTATTAATATATTTTATGTCAACTTTGATCCTATATAATTTGATAATTTTTAAAATGCAGATAGAATATATTAATAACAACTAAAATTCACTTATATTTCATGTTTAGTAATAGTTTGAATTTCTCATGTTTAAAAAAAAAATGGAATGAAAGGTTAAAGATTTAAAAAAAAAAAAAATTAAGTTGTACTTAAAATTGTCGATACTTAAACTTAGTTTATCTTATAACTAACATGGTATGGAAGGTCAAATAAATATTACTTTAATTTAAAATTGTATTATATTTTGTTTGAATTTTAAATTTTCAATGTTAGTTGAATTTAGTCTTAACTAAAATTTAGGGTTAATTCTAAATTTAATATAAAAATAAATCCTTAGTATGATGAAGTATTGATGAATATTGAATTTAAAAAAAAAAAACATATAAAAAATAAAATATAACTAGGTGGTCATTCAAAAAATTTTTAAAAATGATAAGAAATCTCCGAATATCCGAACCGAATCAAACCGAGCCAAACCGAACCGTTCTGATAGTCCCAAAAACCGAATCGAACCGAACCGAAAAATAAAAATTTTCAAACCGGACCGAACCGATTTTTTGGTACGGTTCTGGAGATCGAATTTTGTGATCTCCGAACTTCAGTATGGTTCTGGAGATTTATCAATCTTCGAACCGTACCGACCCATTTTCACCCTTAGTTTACACAAATTGATGGAATTTACCAAATTTTGTGAGCTTATGCAGCATACAACATTTAATGTTGCATTAAATTTTTGACTTTAATTCATTTTATTATTTAAAAATTCTAGCTAAGATCTATTAAGTGTGTATTTTTTATTTTTATTTTATTTTTTCATATAAACAACGAAGAACATTAATATCTCAGTCTCTATATTTATAAAATCTCAATTGAAAAGGTAATAAAAATTTTAGAATATCGGTCTTTATATTTATGCCTTTCAAAAAAAATATTGAATGCTATTCGTTAAATATCATTTTTCATTAATCATCACAATTTTTTTATTTGGAACGTGTGATAATAAACTTGGTAATGTTTATCACTTATTTGTTTACCAATCTATTGTTTTTTCTATACTCAATTTCAAAAGGTAAAATAATTATCAAATTATCAGTCTCAATAATTGTGCATTTTAAAAAAAAATATTAATGATAATATATCCTTTGTTAATATTACACAATTTTGAAAACTCCATTATAAATTGTATGTTGATATCCAAATTATTATATAAATGCAATCGACTTTGTTAAATCTCCATGAAAATATGGTAAAACAAAATGAGACGATCAACTTTGTATAGAAATAAAATAAAACCAATAAATCAATATGAAGTTCACAGGAAATTAACATAATGAATAATTTGTATAGTACACGGATCTAAAAAATAATACTCACGTGGATTCTAAAATTCAAACTTATATTTATCATCATGTTCTGGAAATTGAATAACATAATTTTAGACATGTATTATTTATAAAATAGTTTAGAAAGATTTTAGGTGACTTCACATCTTCAATAATGATATATAAAATTTTAGATACTTTACATACGCTATATAATATTTTAGGTGTTTTTAATATTTTAACATACATTTTTTATATTATTTTATACAAGATAAATTTATATTGTTTACAACTTATATACGATAAATTATATCACATATTAACTCCACATCTTAATTACAATTATTAGTTAATATCTCCACATCTTAATTACAATTATTAGTTAATATTGTTTATCCTCATATTTAATTTATAATTATTAATTAATATTATTTACTGTCATCGTTAATTCATAATTATTATTTAATATTATTGACCCGTGCATTGCACGGGCTACACACTAGTTTTTAACAAATGAAATAATGAATTATAAAATAGAATCTAGTTATTAAATAAAATATATTGTTTAGTTGCTTAAGGTAAGTTCAACCCTACCGCATGGGGGTATGTATTTCCAATAGCAAAAAGCCCGATACGTTATCCAATATTGATCTTGGTGAATTGCAAATAAGAAAATTATTATTTATTTCATTTCACCTTTTTATCAACAATTGATAAATAAAATAAAAATAAATTATTAGTATTATATATTTACAACAAAAAATAATATTAACCCACTCATATAGTTTAAATTATCAATTATTATTAAATAATATTTCATTCATTACATTACAACCTTTATATATAACATTTTTATATTATATATATTTACAAACTAAAAAGTAACTCACTTTTTTTTTTACAAACATTTAATCACCTTTTCAACACTTCATCGTAAAGAAACCAATTTTTATTCCAATTTCTATATCAAATAGTAACCATATAAGAAGTAGGGGTATAAACAAGTCTAGTCGAGCTCGAAATTCTAATACTCAAACTCAGCTCAAACTTTTAACAAGCCGAGTTAGTAAACGAGCTCAAATTCAGCTGGTTCATTACTTTTAAGCCGACAAATTTGAAGCTTAAAAACCCGAATGACAACAAATTATATCCGCTAAATTTAAAAGCCCAAATGAAATCAAGCCATTCACATAACCAACACTTCTTACTACAATTAGAAACCGTGATAAATTCATTACATTCTGAGAGAAAATCAGTACTTAGTACGGTTATCATCAATACTCCTCACACTGCATTATATTATGATCAACGTTCGTCAAAAAACCAGTCTGAATATCAATCATGGCAGAGTAACAAGAAAAGNCAAATTAGATTGGGCACTTCAAAGTTCATACTGTGGAAAAGAAAACAAGAAAAGAAGCGAAAAGCCGAAAACACAGCCCCAGATAACCACACGAATTCGAGCTTAAATAAACCGCATTCGTCAAAATACTTAACCAGCATTCCCACACCAAAAGCCACACACACTTAAATTTACCGAGCCCAAGATCGACAAAAGGGTTTTCCCCAAATCCAAGCCTTACTCCCAACCGCCATCCATACCAACCCAAGTGCTTTCATTATCATCGTACGGTGTACCAAAATCTGGGAGATTCATGCCAACAGCATAAGGATCTTCTTCATAAGCTGATGATCCATTGTGGGCCCCACCCGCGTATCCATATTTACGGCCACTGCCATTATGAGTCTCGTGGGCCCTCTCAGCATACTCGACGAGCCACGAAGGGACTTTCTGCTTTGCCTCCCGCATCAAGTTGACGAGTGGTTTAGCAAGAGGAATATTCTTCTCGGAGAAAAAAGCAGTCGCCAGGCCCGATTTTCCGGCCCGCCCAGTCCTTCCGATCCGGTGGACGTAATCTTCTATGGAGCGTGGAAAGTCGAAGTTTATGACGTGGGCCACGTGAGGAATGTCGAGCCCACGTGCGGCTACATCGGTAGCCACAAGAATCGGAGTTCGACCGCTTCTGAAAGATTTCAAAGCGTGTTCTCGTTCCTGCATTTTTTTTTTTCGGAAAAATGAAAGAACTCTAAGCCTCGACAATTTTATTTATTTTTTTTTTTTTTGAATTTCTGAAATGTAAATATTCACATTTTCATCACAAATTGAGTTTGTTCCAAGATTTCAATACAAAATGGTTTGTGATGTAAAAATAATTGCGAAACAGGGAGAGAGGGAGCGAGAGAATGCTCACAAGAGCCACTCCATTTTGTCTTGTATGGCATGAGAGAAAGAAAATTAAAGTTTTAATTGTGTGGTATAATTTGAAATGTGTAACATGTAATTGGGTGGAGAAGAGAGATAACTTAAATAAATAGTATAATATATGATAGAAGTTGCGACTTCTAGACATTTTCTATGCCACATAGACTTGTTTGTGCCATGTGGCAACAAAACAGAGCAATTCAAAGATCATTGGAGATGCTCTAATGATTCGACTTCAGTGACTATATATAAGTTGGTTTATAGCATAAGTTGTTTGGGTGGAATTTTCTGAACCGACAGTTATATCGGTACAGAGTAGCAATTGTAAAGAGCTCAGTTAAAATATATAAGACGACAAATGCTTCAACAACATTCAAGCAAACAGATACTGCAAAGAAAAAAAAGCCGAACTAACCATTTGTATTTTGTCACCATGGATAGCAGTAGCAGAAAAGCGTTTTGTGGACAGAAAGTACTCGAGCGCATCTGCTCCTTTTTTCGTCTCCACAAAGACTAGAGTCAAAGCATTCTGAATAAGAGAAATATAAGCAGAACCATTCAACCGAACAGCCACAGGGAAAAAGACATGTAAGAACGTAACTAATAGCGGAGAAAAAAATGTGTATCACCTTAGCAGGGGCACTATTGGTCTTTTGGCAACGAAGAATATCAACCAAAAAGTCCCGTTTGTTCGTCTCATCAACAAACTCAACTCTCTGAGCGATGAGATCGGTACTCGATCCGACTTTTCCAGCAGCAAGGAAGATGTAGTTCGTGAGAAAATCCGATGCAAGCCTCTGCAAAAGAGTGAAATCGTAAAATTTACCTCACACGTGCTTTTCTGCTGATAACCATCAACCACAAAAACAGAAAGCAGAAAAGAAAAAAGAAATGGAAAAAACAAATGCATGAAATTCTAGCACTGAGAAAGAAGTACATATATGAATGACAAATGACAAGGAATGAGGTAATTAATTTTTATTTTTATTTTTTGAAAAAAAGGAAACCCGTATTTCATCTGGAAATGTGGCACTGAAAAGCATTGTCTGTCTCGAGCCTGGTGGGGGCATCTCCATTTGCTGAACAATCTTGCGGACTTGAGGCTCGAAACCCATGTCCAGCATTCGGTCAGCCTCGTCCAGTGCTAAGTACTTAACTTTACTCAGTGATACTCTTCCTCTTTCTATCATATCTACCAAGCGGCCTGGTGTGGCAACCAAGATTTCAACCCCCATTTCCAGTTTTCGCAACTACAGAGGCAGAATATAAAATTTTGAGAATAGTTCTAAGTGAAAGGTAAGAGATAATGTATAATGGAAATCAGTACCTTAAAAATTTGCATCATACTGGTCTTTTCATCATATAAATATGTACTAGATAATACCACATTTTTCTTTTAAGTTCCAGTAAGATATTTTCCCATTGCATGTACCAAATGCTAATTAGGGCAGACGTGGCCAATATTTAAATTATTTTACATGATAAGAATGTTCGACCATGTTTACAGTAACCACCATACGTGATAATTGTGTTTCGAATAAATCATAACCTAGAGTGAGGTAAAGAGTTGTTCGACAAGCAAATGGATAGAGCAATGGAAAATTTTCATTTACTTGTAGTTTCAAATGGTGCGTCTTAACTCACTCTAATGCCCAATCACACTCTCAAAATCCATCTCATTTTTCTTGTTGAGTCTTCCGACAATATTAACCACACTCTAATGCCCAATCACACTCTCAAAATCCATCTCATTTTTCTTGATGAGTCTTCCGACANGGAAAAAAAAAAAAAAAGAGCAAAGAAAAGGTCAACTGATAATTCGCTGAGAAGATGCAGAGTCTTAATGAAAAGAACTACAGTAATATGTTACGAATATAATAAACAGAATGGCCTAGGCATAGGATACTAAAAAACATAATGTATCATAAAGTTTTATGTACATTTTCATAAGAAACATAAGACCAACAAATTATATGATGAATCTCAAGTTCTAAAAGGAAATCTACAAGTAACAACTTTATGCTGTTTCAGTTATAACTACACAATAATTGCATTTTCATTGACATATTCAAAGACAACATATGTTTTACCAGAAGAAAAAGTAGGAATTAACACATTCACAGGATATAAAACAATCATATTTACATGTATTTTTCAATGTTATCTAAATGGCCAATAGCACCACTTTCAAACCTGTTGGAATATAGGAGCCCCACCATAAACAGCCACAACTCTGACTCCAGTTTGATATGAGAACTTGGTGGCCTCATCGTGTATCTATAAATGAAGCAACAACAACAAAAATCATCAAAGCTAGACATGAACTGAACACCAAACTTAAATTTATAGGGATGTCCATGCAAGTAAACATTATTTCTAAAACTGTTCTCAATTGATTGACCTCTCATTTGTTTCTTCTTTTTCTTCTCTTTTTTTGTCAGTTTAATGTGATCAAATGCTAAACAGTATATCACCTAAACAGTAAATCAGATACTGAAAGCTCATCAAAGGCTATTCAAAAAACTTTATTAGTATATCAATTGAAAAAGGTGCGGGAAAAGTGGAAGACCCGCAGTCATGATCCGGGTCTGACCCGTTCAAAGAACCGCTGACCAAGAAATTGACCCGTTGAAAATGAGAGACGGACGACACAGAAAGCTCATAGAAAACACAAATTTTAAAAATAGAAGACGAACATTCTCGGTAAAGAGTAAAACCTCAAATGACCATTTTTTTACTGAAAAAAAAAAAAGAAACGAATAAACACACACACACACACACATCGATTAAGCACCAGCACCTGACAAGCGAGCTCTCGGGTCGGAGCAAGTATCAGGGACAAAGGGGAAGCCAAATGGGTAGGGCCCACTCGACCACCGTTGAGGGTCTTGCCGCGCTCTTTATCCAGCATAACGCCGTTGATAATTGGGAAGCAAAACGCTGCCGTTTTTCCGGAGCCCGTCTGGGCGCACGCCATCAGATCCCTCCCCGCCATCGCCGCCGGGATCGCGTGCCTCTGTATGGGGGTGGGGCTCACGTACCTACACCTCCTTATGTTGTCGATCAGAGCCTTTTCGGGGAAGCCCATCTCCAGAAACGATGCCGCCGGCGGGGGAATGTCGGCGCCGGTCGCCTCCACCGGGGTGTCGTCATGAGCGGAGGCGTTCTTCGTCTCCGGCTCGTCATCCTCCGCGTGCTTTGAGGTGATCTCGAGGTCTTCGAGCTTCCGGGAGATGTCAGGCTGCCCGGAGGTGTTGGGCTGCGGCCGGCGTCGGCCGGCGTGGAGGGGGGGTATGGTGACGGTGATTTCCGGCTGGGGGCGGGCGTGGGGCGGGAGGTATGGGGATCGGTTGCGCGGCGGGGGCCGGGAAGCGGCGGTGCCGGAGCCGGTGAACCACGGCTGCGACATGGTTGTGGGAGCGTGGAGAGAATGAAACTGAAAATGAAATAAAAAATAAAAAATAAAAATCAGTCACTCTTTCTGATATTTTGGTCTCTGAAGAGTCTGAAACACATGAGGTTTTTCGTGAGTAGTGAGTAAAGCTGTAAAAAGGGACAAAAAAACAAATGATGATTTTTGTGTTTTTATTTTGATTTTACTTGAAAATTTGAAAAAACAGTACGAAAAAATCGACATGGAAACAAGAGATACAGCCATACAGGCTAATTATGGATGGGATTGCTGCAAATATTTAATTATATACACATTTTTTATTAAGTTAGTAATTAAATGGGTTAATTCCTCCTAATTTTTAATAAAAATATCTGCCAATGCTTTTAAATGTCTTATTTTTGTTTTAAGTATATACACATTTTTTTATAAATTAGTAATTAGACGGGTTAATTCCTCATTTTTTAATAAACATATCTATTGATGCTTATATGTATCATATTTTTTTGTATTATTTTTTATAGTATGATATTTTAATCTAATATATACAAATATATTGAAACATTTTGAATGTTTTAATATTGGTCTAACATTAGTAGTTATATTTTTTTAAATAAAATAGGTATTTAAACTGAGAAAGGACGTTATTTTATTTATAATATTATTATTTATTAAAATATGTTATAAAATTATATATATTTGTTGAAAAATATAACTATTTAATATTAATCATGTCTAACAAGTAACCTGTAATGAAATATATTGGCATCTTTTTTCAAATTTCACTTTTCACACATTTGAGGACAGACAGTACAGTGAATGAGTGGGTAAAGTAAATTGTACAAATAGTAACTTTAACTATATTTTATGGTGATGATGGTGAAGTTTGGAAAGTTGACAGGCGCCTTGTATGGGCGGCTTATGTTTCCAATAAAAAAAACATTATGGTTTTTCCTATTTGGTACCAGAAATTATAATGAGTAGTGAATAAATAACGTAATATTAAAGTTATTTTTAAATTAAATATTAAATTAAACAAACATTATTTTTTAAAATATTATTTTTTCATTTTTGATACTATATTTTTATTTATATGTTAGTTAGATCTATCCCTACCTGAAAGTAATTTACTCAACCAACTTTACATATATTGTGGTATTATGTATCAATTTTTCACTTCCCTCTAATGTCTCGATTGTCGGTGAAATACCTTACCCACGATTGTTTGTCGACTAAGCAAAAAATTTACTGTATGAATTATTTAGGAAAAGAGCAATCAGATTCGGAGAAAATCCGACATCATTTTTCTTCTCATGCTTTCGGGTGTTCTTCTTATGGACAATGGGGACAAACGAAGCAACAAGCCTCAAACTCTGGTGATTGGTCGAATTTTAATCCCTACAAGAATGTCCAGGTCCAAAGGGCAATGGAGACTGGATGCGCTAAGCTTGATCACTACCTCGTATCGAATTTGATAATCTTTTGGAACCAGTTGCGCCACTCAAATTCGACGTCTTGGATTGATGGTAAAATATGAGTATCATTTATCTTATTACATGTTTGATAGTCAAGGAGATTTTCGTTGTCCCGACCTCAATACTGGCAGTTGAACAAACATTTAGTCAGAGAGGATATACACTCGACGCACAACAGTCGAGGTTGACACCACAAAATCTGAAGGTTCAAATGCTGGTGAGGGATTGGAAGAAGACCGAATGAAGGACACAAAAGACCATGGTAACTACCGAAGTGGATGATGAAGAAGAAGCATCTGATTTTACTAGTAATAATGAAACCACTATAACCAAAGACAACTATGAGACTTACGATTACTAGAGCGTCAGTTCAACAACGCATCCCTGCCATCTTCACTAATCAAGGTAAGTAAAGTAAATGAATTACAAACACTTTGACTCCCACGGTATACGTAGACAACTTAATTAATATATTATATATTCAAATATAATTCTTTTACCCAAAAAATTTTCAGCTTAATTGATATTTTTACTTATAATGTATAAGTTAAGCCACTTTTCAATTTTTTTAAACTCTCAACATTTTTTTTTTTCCGAAAAAACAGCCTGAACCCCTTCACCCCTGAACTGGCCATGAACCGATCCATATTATATAATCGGGCTGATTCAGGGGCCCCTAAAAACGCAGGCCGGGTGATTTGACCATCTCTAGGTATAGCATAGTAATTTTCCAATGGCTGGTTGGCTGCTGCTATGTAGAAGAAAAGAAGAATAATTAAAAAAAAAAAAAATGAGAGAGAGAAGCAAAATATCTACAAGAATTCCAACAAATTCAGTTTAGAATTTGATTTTTCCACGGCACACGACTTTTTAACTAAACATTTTGTCAGGGTGATAATCGTTTTCAGTATTTCGCATTATTTAATTACACAATACTATTTTTTCGTAATGAACCATTAGTTCAAGATAGAAAGTAGCCAACAAACAAAAGTGAGTCAAAAATAAATGCATGAAAGCTCAAACTCAGGAGTTCAGCTCAATTCAATTCAGTTGCATCCCTATTTTCAACATGAAATGTTTTCCAATTCGTCTATTCATCCACATTTCATAGTTTCCAACTTTCAATCATATTTCCAAAAATTACCCAGAGAGCAAAGGTTTACAATTGAAAGTGGAGGTAATAACTGCCTTTTACCATCCACTTTAGGCTGGCTCGGCAAAGTAGCAACTATTTTATTGAGTTCAATATTGAACTTGTAATCGGAAGTTAGAATTTGTAAACCATGTCTTCTGTGTATCCAAGTTCCTTGAGTATGCCAGTAAGCTGCAAAATGGAAGTGAATAATAATAATTTAATAGTGAACAAGAAAATAAGTAAAGTAACAAAACCAAATATTAGGCTAAATGAATTTTTGAGCATTTGTTATACCTCTCCTTGCGAACGATCCTTAGCCTTATCGCCAGATACATGATTCATCATTCCAGGGGGTCCACAAACCTAGAAGATCAAGGAGAAAGATAAAGTAACACATTATGAGATGGATTTTCAGCAGAATTATCGAGTTCAAATAAGACATAACCCAGTCTAAAATCTATATGCATGAGAGTAAAATGGGAGTTTATCAGCCTCGAAAGGGGTAAATTGCACCAAACCTCCCTGTGTTTAACGAAATATGCGCGTTTTCCCACTGTGTTTTAAAAAATGCACCAGACCCCCTTATATTTAAGAGTCTGATGCACACGTTCCTTTTTTTCAATTGGCCCACTAACGGTGTTAGTTTTATCAAAAACCCCGTTATACCCTCTTAATATTATATTTATATTTATGATAAATTCAATTTATCACGATATATTGAATATATGGCGAGAAATTATATTGAATATATGGCGAGAAATTAAATAAAAAATTTTTCAATTGGTCCATTAACGGTGTTAGTTTTATCAAAAACCCCGTTATACCCTCTTAATATTATATTTATATTTACGATAAATTCAATTTATCACGATATATTGAATATATGGCGAGAAATTAAATAAAAAATTTTTGCTGTCTCAAAAGGATCAACCCTGAGACCTCATGATACACTAGCAAGCACTTCACCACCACACCACTCTAAGGTTGAGTGCTAGATGAAGTAATGTTTAATATATATAGCATTACATATAGATAAATGAAATTAAATTTAGAAGATAATGTAAATTATATTAAAATAAATTATTAAAATATAAACTTATAATAAGTTAAAATATAATAACTAAATTATATAAAATTAAACGAAAAATAATTAAAATAACTTATTATATTAAAAAACACAAAATAATTGAAATAAAATTATAAATAAATATAAAAATTACTATTATAATAATATTATTGTATTTATTTAATATTATTTTTATTTATTATTATTTATTTTAATTTATATTATTACATATTATTTTGTTGCATTATTTATTTTATTTTATCTTAGTTAACAAACTTTATTTATTTTGTTTAACTTAAGACAATGAAATAAAATTAAAATAAATTTTACTAAATAAAATTTAGAAATTAAAATTATTTATTTACAATTAAAATTATTTACTAAAAAATTAGAATTTATTTCAATTTTTTTCATATTTTATGTAAGAGTAAATCATATTAAAATTATTTGATAAATAATAATTTTTATTTTATTATATTAATTTAAGATTTTTATTTATTTAATTTATTATTTCATAAAAAGTTATTTTATTTATTATTTATTTTACTTTATCATTTTTTTACTTTATTATCTTATTTAATTATTATTTTTATTTTAATTTAATTACTTTATTTTAATTTTATTTATCTTTTAATTTAATTTATGTATTATTTTTTCATTTAAAATTTATATAATTAATTTATTTTAGTAATTGAAATATAAATTTATTTAATTTTAATCGACGCTAAATTTTATCTTACATTATTTTAATTTAATTTTTTTTTATTATTTTATGTTAATTTAATTTATTGGAAGTTATTATTATTATTATTATTATTAATTATTTAATTTATAGTAAATTTGCCAATTATACTATTATTTTCTTTTATTTACTTTATTTTAAAATATTTAATTCATTTCTGTATGTGTATAAATATACTTATGTTCAATAAATTACACATCCTTCCATATAGCCCAGTGGTTGAGTGGGCAATCCTTCCCTTCTCAACCCAGGATCGAATCCTACTTCCCATGTTTTATACAATTTTCGATTTTGTAATAACATTTAAGAGGGCAAAAAGATAAATTATTAATTATGTAAAATAAAAAAATTGAACAAATCTCGCAGCTATAGAAGGTGTCATACACGCGCGGTTAACTTGGATGTTGCTATATTCCCTTCAGCAGCCTTTTTCCTATGCCAACAGTCTCTGGCATAGTGATTTGGCTTGCCACATACGTAGCACGGGCCCTTTTTATATCCCTTGGACGTCTGATATTTCTTATAACGTTCTTGTTGGACCCCCTTTGTTTCAGAGCTTCTTTCTTCCTTTTTAATATATTCCTTTTTGTCTCTTTTATTTTGTTGACGTGGTCTCATATTCTTTTTATAACTAAATAAAGCTTCATCTTCTTTCTTTAATGAGACCTCCGTCATTTGTCTGGTCAGCGCTTCTTGGTCGGCTAATATATTTTCAAAATTTACCAAAGAAGGCTGCTCAGACCAACCTTGTATAGCGGCTATAATCCCCCTAAATTCAGGTCTTAAGCCATGGATGATAATTCTTCTCATTTTAGCTTCTGAAACTTTATCAGTGGGGTCCAATTCAGAGATTTCGCGACAAAGGGTTCGTACCTTGTTAAAGTAGTCGCGTACCGTCATCTCTCCTTGTTTGAGTGACAGGAGCTCGTTCTCAAGAAGTTGCAGCTTGAACTCATTCTTTTTGGAAAATAATGCTCCCAGAGTGTCCCACGCCTGTTTTGGAGTGCTTGCGTCCCGTATGTGCTCCAGTAACTCTTTGTCGATAGTCGTCTTGAGTGCGTACATGGCCTTTCCCGCCTTTATCTTCCATTTACGTAAGGCCCCAACTTCTTCAGGTGGTGTGACCTCTTCTCCGCCAACAATTTCCCACAAATCTTGGCCTAGGAGATACGACTCCATGCAAGTCCTCCATGTGGTGTAATTTTGATTATTGAGTTTCTCCATTCCGCCTACTGATTGTAGATCCGCCATTGTGACTTGGACTACCTCCTCGTAACCAAGCAAGCCTCACGCGCTTCACAATTTCTTCTAATTGTGCACGATCTTTTTGAACTCAATAATCTCCCCCTAGTTGACGGCAAGTGATGAGCCTTGAATATATTGGCACGAGCTTGAACTCTCCGGACGTGGCTCTGATACCACGTGTTAAAAATAAATGAACCAATACACTCAAGAGTTAAGTCAGCCTCACCGTGCTTGGAACGTGCTCGGTGTGTGCAAGTGCTGGGCAAGAGAATATACAAGGGAGAATGAAAGGAAAAGTACTTGTACTATTATTCACACAAACTTTGTACAAGAGAGCTTGGTTGTTGCTTGGATACCATAAGAACCCAGACCTTAACAACTAGATACCATAAGAACCCAGATCACCAAATACGACTAGATAAGTAATGGACAACGACTCAAGCCTTCCCAGATCCCTTGCCATTCCCCTCCCCAGATCCATTCCCATTCCCCTCCCCAGATCCCTTCCCATTCCACTCCCCAGATCCATCCCCCTTACCTCCAACTAACAGACCTTTGAGACCTTTCAGCTCTGACAGAATCTCACCCAACTTCCTATCTCCTTCCTGTTGAAGTTTGAGACCTTTGTCCTTAGCAACGACTAGCTGCCCCAGCTGCCTTCCTTTCTGGTGCGAGTCATACACTTGGGCCTGCTCTTTCTTTTCCAGCACGCAAACATAGTGTACCCCAGTGAAAACGCTGGCGGAAATCATATTCTCAGCAAACCGTGTTGCGAAGCCCCAGACTCGTTCCTTGACCTCCGTCACATTCTCTTACATGGCCTCCTTTAAATTTTCTTTCACACTCTCTTTCAGACTGTTTTTCGCCTCCTCAGCAAGATCCTTGCCGAGGGACTCCTTCACAGCCCTTTCAATTTCCTTGGAAATGAGACTCTTAACAGCCCGCTCCACGACACCTTTCATCATAGCTGAAAAGAAGTAAGATGTGAAATATGATAGCCGATTTGCCTGTGGTAGCCGATTTATTACATGGGCCGCCGTCTTCATACATTCTGCACAGAACCTCGCCGGTACGTTCTTTGCATGAATCATGCTTCGACATGTTTCTGCCAGGTGTCGATTTTTCCTTTCTGCTATGCCATTTTGCTGAGGTGTGTTTGGACACGTCAGCTGATGGTGTATCTTATGCTCCTTCAGAAATCGGGAGAATTCTCTTGATGTGTATTCTCCCCCGTTATCCGTGCAAAGGCACTGGATCTTATCTCCGATTTCTCTTTCAACTATTTCTTTGAAGTCTTTGAACTTTGAGAATGCTTCTGATTTTTCTTTAATAAAGAATACCCAAACGTACCTTGAGAAGTCGTCGATAAATGTCACCATATAGCGCATACCGCTGATCGAAGGTTGTTTAACTGGCCCAAATATGTCAGAGCGGATTGTCTCTAGAGGCTTCTTTGCTTTGTAGCTCGAATCTTCAAATGGTAGTTGATGTGCTTTGCCATACTGACAGCCAGCACATATTGTGTTATCCCTTATTTCCAGTTGAGGGAGGCCCTTCAACATTGATTTCTTCATCATCACCTTAAGCTTATGATAGCTCACATGTCCCAGCCTCGCATGCCATAAGTCTGCCGTTTCATTTTTTCTAAGGCTATATTTGTGGCTTGCCTGCACCTTGTCTTGCAGCTTGAATTCAATCCATTTATCAGGATTTAGAGCTGAAAAAAAAAAATCCACTAAAGTTAAACGCAAATTGTTGAAGGTTCAGAAAATAGATTACATTTGCAACACTGTAGACTCGTTAAGAACCAGTTCGGAAGCCTCATGCATTTTACGCCTGGACTCGTGTCCTAAGTTTTCGTCAGTATAAGTCCAATCTAATGAATGAAACAACTTGATTAAGCCCATAAAGTTTGAATACTAAATTGATGATAATTCCTTCGACCTGATAAGATATATGTCCCACCGACCGAGTTTGAAAGCACCAATAACAGTACGAAAAAGCATCAACCGTGTGATTTTACGTGATTAAAACATTAAGAAACTACAAANAGTTTAGATTTAAGGAGGAAAAAAGGGGGTGATTCTTTATGGATTCAACTAGTTTTTATTTGGTTTGTTTTTAACTATAGTTAATTTTGGAAAAAAGAGGTATGGTTAGTTGTTAGTGGATATATTAAAATAATATTTAAATAAAATAATTAAAGTTGATTTGATGTAAAGTAGGAGAAAAATGATTGAAAATGATGGTTAGTTAAAATTATGTGAGTGGATGAATAGTGAATTAAAGTTGATTTGATGTGTAAGAATGATTGGTTGATATTATTTAATTATATTGATAATATTGAAGATAGTGGAGTTGAGTTAAAGTTGAGTTAAATTTGAGTTTTGATTGGTTTTTTTACTATTCAATTTATATCCAATCGCCCCCTAAGGGATTATCTTCATGTTGATTTAAGTCTGTCGTATGTTCCAGGCCAGAACCACTTTAGGCTGCACCATACTTAACTGTCAAGAGAAATTTTCATAAATGGTCCACTAATTTGGTCTACTTATGCAAACGGACCATTTTTTTAATTTTTCCGGGAAACTACGACTTCAATTGGATGGAGGCTAAAAGAACTGTTAGAGAGTGTAATCAAATATGATGCACAAAAATTGTTGAGCATGAAAGAAATTTACTTAGAGAATCAAAAACTTAGTAGTTATTGGATACATGAGGGATGGAAAAAAAAAAAAACACACCAATTTTTTCTGTAGAATCTTCACTCAGTTGATCCAAATAAACCTGAATTATAATTATATCATTTATCAGTGAGTGAACAAGCACCAAATATTTACATGCGTGTAAACTGCATTAAAAACGAGAAAAGCACTGAATTGCAAACGAAATGAGAACATTCACTGTCCATAATTTCGTCTGCCTGTATTAGTTTTTTCTTCTCTCGAAACTGAAGGAAAATGACCCATTGAACACATTTACGAGTGATAAATATATAAAAAGACAGCTGAACTTCTAAGTTCTAGCTGCGGTTAGGGGTGAGATGACTGATTTATTTCCCTCTGTAACCTGGCACTTCTTCAATCTCATAAATAATTGTAATTGCTAGCTCCACGTTTTCAATGATCCAAGCACAGAGAACAAAATTTTGGTTTCACGACACAGTTCTCAAATACATGCGAACTGAGAACTCTCTTTTTTCACATTGCTGATCGCCGAACAATTCATACAGGTCAAACTAGGAATAGAGAAAAGCTATATGCATTGCTGCTCTATGATTCGAGAGTTTTGATCTTTCGTTTCTTGTGGCCCGATCACAAACCAGTGCCGAACAAAATTTCAATTCCCTACATTTATCAAATCGGAGTGAGAAATTTACCAAACTCGGTGAGGAAATGAAGTAATACGAGGAGATGGCGCCGGAAATGGCAGCAAGGGCTCCGAATCGGAGACGTGACCCGGAATTTTTCTGGCCGCCGGAGTAGATCGACGCGGCGTTCGCCAGTCGCCTGAGAAAGAAGGCCATCACTCGAGCTTGAAATTCCAGTCGTGAGAATTATGAGAGTTTGGAATATTTCAGTGGACTGGTTTTATAGCATTCGAGTGGTTTACTAAAATACCCCTTGAAGCTTTAAGGCCATTATGCTCGATTTTTGGGCAATTAAACAATTAAACGACGCCTAAACAATCTATACGAATGCAAATTTATGACTATTTATTTAGGCGATTTGAGAGCGCCCGTAGAATTTTTGTTATTCTTCTTAATTTATTTAAAATATAATAAAATCTATTATGCTTTTTTTATATGGAATATACAACATTTATAAAACTAAATAATAATAATAATGATAATCATGTTAAAATTTATATAATAGTTATGAACACATTATATTAAAAAAAATGTTTATATTTAACCATATGAAATAGTATGTTTTATATAATGTGTCACTAATGATAAATATATAATAAATTTATTAGTACACCTACACTCTTTAAATTTCTATTTTCATGTATTTTTTTTAAAAAGCACTCATTATTATATTTCGAGATTACATACCAAATTTCCAATTGAGTTACACTTCTTACCTATTACAAATTAAATTATAAAATTAATTATTGTTGTATATATGATATGATATTTATATATTATATTCAAAAAAATTAATAGCAAATAAAAAAATTATTTAAAATTACAATAATCAAGTTTTTTTTTTTTAAATTGTAACCTACATGGATACAAGTTCATATAACTATTGTTTATCACCTAAAACTTGACATAAAATTCGTAAGCACAAAAATTTAATAAACATTTAACAACTCAACTCGTTTGCATCGAGAAATACAAGTTTTAAAAGTTTTATATTTACTTTTTATTAATTATAGTATTTTTATTTATTACTTATTTTCTGTAGGAAATTCACACAACCAAATTATTTAATTGAACATTGAATCACATGAGAAAATATTCTAAAGTAATAAATTTACATACATATTAATTAGAAAAATTATTATAATATAAGTTTTTTTGTATAAATTTTAAATACTTTACCCAAATCGGATATTGGAATAGGGAATGCAGAAATCTAATGCATAGCTATAGCAGGACAACATAACAGTACACCAAAAGGAGAAAGGTGTCGATAAGACATTTGAGAATACCCTGTATTACAAATACAAATTTCGGAACAAAGCTTGTCTTCCCCACAGCTCTGTTATCTAGCTAACTTTAAATAGTATACTTTAAAGTCTTAATAAATATAAATATATAATTTTATTTTTTTAAAAATAAAATGGCCAGATCAAATTTGAATGGATTATGGTCGGTTTGACCGGGTTGTTTGTCAAGCAATCACAAAGATCCAGATCGGGTCCAAGTCTGGATCGACCGAGTTTCATATACACCCATTGAATTGGTCCAATTAAACTCGTGGCTAAATTTGAAAAATAATCAAATTAAGCTAATAAAAATGAATTGTTCAAATTAGGTGGATGACGGCACCCGACTTTCCTACGTAATTAAGGCAAGGGCAAAAGGTTGGAAAATTTTTCAATAGTGTATTGTAGTGTTTGATTGGAGCACTCTTGCACAGAGTCAAGTTCTAAAATAAATTTACGAAAGATAGACTTTTCAATAGTTTTGACTTCTCTAATATGATATTGTAAGGAATAATTGACTTTTCTAAATTAATAACTAAGTAACTAACTGTCAATTGTGGTGAAAATGATATTTACCTCTTGAAAATCATTTGAAAAGAGTTAAAGAGTTAGATATAGATTATTTTGAAAATTATTTTACTTTTATTTATTCATTTTTACCATGCTGATACAAGGGTCTGTAAACGAGGGTGAGAGCCGCGCCGGGAGGACATTTCCACGGAGGAGTCGGACTGCCGCAAAAGAGGAGGCAAATCAAGAAGGATTGACGGCGAACGAGGGTTTCAGCGATTTGGGGAAAAGGTTTGGGAGAGAGAGAGTTTATTAAATCAATTAACACTAACATTTTCACTTAACCATTTCTTCTAACATATGCCCCATACTAAAATTAATCATTCTTTTTTTTTTTCTTCCCAATTACGAATCACGGGAAAAATTCAAAATTAGTCCCACAGATATAGGGGGGTGACAATTTTGGTCCCGACGGAATGCACTAAATATGAATAGTCCCACAGCTTTTAAAAAATGATCAAAAGTAGGACTTTTTCGCCGGATTTACTATTTCCGACCCGGAACGCCACGTGGCGCACACGTGGCTTATTTTTTACACGCTGGCGCACACGTGGCTTAGTTTTGAATTTTTCCTAGATAGGGAAAAATTCAAAACTAGTCCCACAAGTATAGAGGAGTGACATTTTTGGTCCCAATGGAATGCAGAAAATTCAAAACTAGTCCCACAACTTGTAAAAAAATATGAACACGTCGGATGCCACGTGGCGTTCCGGGCCGAAAATAGTAAATCCGGAGAAAAAATCCTACTTTTGATCATTTTTTAAAAGTTGTGGGACTATTCATATTTTCTGCATTCCGTTGGGACCAAAATTGTCAACCCCCTATACCTGTGGGATTAGTTTTGAAATTTTCCCTACGAATCACATAGCATCATGAGGCATTGATGTTAAACAGACACATATATATTATGATAAGAAACTATCAATGCATGGGATCACCCATAATTAACAAGAAATTAAGTAGAAAAATCGACTCCTTCCATATTAATTGCTCGATGCTGTATATAAAGGCGAGGCATCTGGTCCTTGGCTCATCTTTATTAGCTCATTATCGTCATCTCAGTTCAAGTGAGTCCTCATCATGCTTTTTTGAGGTTTTCCCGAGGGGAATCCATCAACTAGATCGAGATCAAGGGTCACTATTTTCTGAGTTCAGCAATTTTAAATGAGCCTTTTTTCCTCATTTAAGTCGTGTCCGTATATATTTTTCTTGACGAAACTTTAATTATAAAATAAAGCGCGTCGCAAAAAGAAGAACCGGTAATACTCGAATATTCCAAGAAGTTGCAGCAATATAGTGAAGATTTCATGAACACTTCATTCATGCAAGAAAAAAGACAAATTCAAACTATTATAAAAAAAAAAATATATATATATATATATCAATAAGAAAAATTACATTATGGGTTCCCTTAAAGGCCAATTAATTGATAATCCTGCTACAGCAGTACTAGTTAAATGCAGCTTTTGCCCTGCTGCGTTAAAGGCCTTCAATATCTTTACATTGCTCCACCTAGAAATAATAAAGCGACGAAAAAATAATCAATATAAGGTTAAATAACCACATTTAAAAAAAAATATGCATACTTACAAACTGAAATATTGTCATACTCTACAAAACAACATAAACAAAAGTATGCCATTTCAATTTTTACTTCAAATGACATGTCGACTCGTTTAATGGTTAAACATTATTACCAAAATCTCTTGGTGCGTGGCATTTCAAGCACTCCGTCCTGCTAGCATAATTATGCATGCCGCAACCGAACCTATATCGTCCACAACTTAACCATTTGAATCATAATTAACCAATAAAATAAAATTTTGAAAAAAAATAAAATTTCGGCTAAAATGCAATTTTGGTCCTATTATATCATTAAGATAACAATTTAGGTCTTACCGGAGTGACATATAGTAATTAAAGTCTTGTAATTTAATATTTTGTTGCAATTTCAGTAATTGGGGACTGAAATTGCAAGAAAATTTTAAAATACATATTTGGGATGAATTTTTATAAGCAATTTAAGTCTTATAATTTAATGTTTTTACTGCAAATTTCAGTCATTTGAGGACTCAAACTGCACCAAAATTTCAAATTATAGGATTTAAATTGTTATATGTCATTTTAGTGTGACCTAAATTGCCCCCTTCATAACCTACTAGGATCGAAATTGGTTTTAGCCTAAAGTGTAAAATTCGAACAGATTTACAAACCCGGAGCAAATCCAGTCGCCGTTCTTCCACCCGGGCACTGCATAGCCGGCGGCCGCCATGACCCCGGCCCCGAGGCCGCAATAGTCCCGTGACGTGCAGCACCTGTAGCAGCTGTTCCGGCTGGCGTAGTTGTGGGCCCCACAGTTGATGGCCCCGCAGTACCAATCACCCGCCAGCTCGTGCTGCTTCGCCAGCTGGGCCGACCCGTAGGCCGAGAGCTCTGCGGGCCCCGCATACTTTGGGCAGCTGCACCGCTGGCACATGTCCCTCCTCTGGAAGTTCACGTGCTGGCACGCGCCGCACATCCAGTCTCCCTGCCTGCAGCTCATTGTACAACAAATTGATAACAAAGTACAAAGAATAATTTCTGATTTTTTTTTCTTTTTTTCTTTTCTTTTTTTTTTTTTTTTTTTGCGTTTT